GCATCATTTATTAAGAGCTGTAGGAGATCTATAAAGCTTGTTCACCTTCATATTCTCCTTTCATGAAAATAGGGTTGGGCATATTTTAATATATTTATTGAAGTCTCTATCTTTAAAATATGGTAAGAAATGAAATGTTCTTTGGAGCTGAGAGTTAGACGACCAATTGCAGAAATACAGTTTTCTTGATTTATTTAATAAATTGTGCCAGTTGTGTTGTTATGCTTTATCAAGTCGTCTCCAACTGATGGCACCTTATGAATGAAAGCCCTCCAAAATGTTCTATCCATGCTTAGCTTCTTCTGAAATACGACAGCCCCAGGTTTGTCATTTTTGCTTTTAGGAAAAGCTGTGGCTTGATTTGATCCAGGATCCACTAGTTGGCCTTTCTGTTGGTTCAAGGTATTTGCAAAGCTCCTGTCCAGAACCATGTCGCAAATGCATAGACCTTCTTCCTGTTGCGTGATCTCTTTAATCCTAGTTTAGCCAACATTTAAACCATGGGTCCTCAAACTACGGCCTGTGGGACGGATGTGGCCCACCGTGACCACCCATCCAGCCTGCGCCGCCGCTCACCACCCGCGTGTGCACAGGAGGTGGAGGCTTGCTCACTCGGAGATGGTTTTGAACTCGCAGGGAGATCTCCGAGCGAGCCGCCACCGCCGCACACGCCCAACGCCACCTCGCCACCAGCCCCAGCCCCTGCCCCCAGGCACCCCCACCTCACCGGCCCAAGACAGTCACCACCGCCTTTCAACTGACCTCCTATTGAAAAAGTTTGAGGACCCCTGATTTAAGCAGATGGTTAAAACACATTTGTGAAATGTTAGTGGTATGTCTACTCTGCTATTCTAAACTAACTTGCTCTCTGATGGGGCCTTCTTATCTGTTGATTCATGACGAAAACTATTTTACTGACTTAACTTGTTCGTGCTTCTATCAGTGGACTTGGATTTAATGGCATTCATTGCATAATCTAGCAAAACATTTCAGGATCATTAATAGAGGCAGGCATTACACCAACTGCTATGGTCATGCTGAAATGTGTTGGATTTCACAGCCAAGTTAAATGAAGATGTGCAACATCAAATATAGTAACCGTGTATCAAGCCCATGAAAGTCGGAATCCAAATGCTGTGAAAAAACAAAATAATGGAGGCTGTTGTTTCAATATGGCAGTAACCTTCACCCACCGGCAGGTGTGTCTGCTATAACTTGGTAGAAGAATGTTTTGAATATGACACAGTAGATTCAGTCTTGGCATCTCCAGCTAGCAACCCTGGACCACTGGATCTGTTACCTGCTTCCAGTGGTGGTTTCATGGTAGTGTGCTGCATGGATGCCTGAACACATCTTTACAAGTGAAGCTACCAGAGCCCCCATGGCTGTTCCCATCCTGGTCCAAGTATGTGTAAGGCTTTCCACAGTCTGCTTTCTCTTCCTTGTTTTTTTCCCAAACATGTAGGTGGGATGCCAGCTAAAGGTCAGACTTCAGTTCCTGATTTTGCATGCATTCTAGGTAGATAAACAGTGTTGACAAAAGCCTTTGCATGTAATCAAATAATGTGGTGATGAATGTTTAGTAACAACATTTAATAGATTAATCTATGAACTGCTTTAAAGCATTTTGATTTATTTAAAAGGTGCCTCCAATTAATTTGAAAGGAGAATAATTTTTAAAAATGGAATGCACTTATAAATCCATTAGTGGAAGGTACCGTATCGGAAAATCTTTTATCCTGCTGTCTCACACGGGAGGAGTCCCCCTTTATGTATAAAGTATTATAAACAAATCAAAAATAAATATCCTACTAATGCATAATTCATCATATATAACTCAAACTAATGAAAATAACAAGTACAGTCAAATGCTATCCTCAGAGTAATCATTCCAAGATGTACAAAGAGGCTCCATTTCTTATACAACTATTTGTAAACAGTTTATTATTTCTTGCTTTTACATAAAAAGTTGTTTTTCATGCCAGTATCTGCGGTGACATATGTAGTGCCTTGGAGAACCATTCACACAACCCCTTTGCTTTTTCCGGTGCGATGTAGTGGTTACGAGTGTGGGAGTGGAACTCAGGAGATCTAGATTCACTCACTGTTTGACTTCAGGCCAGTCACAGACTCTTGGGCTAACCTATTTGTAGGTTGTTTGTTCTTTGGAGAATAAAATGGAAAGTAGAAACTCGCTAGCCACCTTGGGTTCCTTGCAAGAGGAAGAAAGGCAGGAAGTAAATCTAATAAAATTTATGTATTATTACTATTATTTATGGCACAACATGGGACTGAAATGGATTCAGTGGGAACTCTTACCGTTTGACATATACAAGACAAGACATTCAACACAGTGAAAGTGCACAGTGTTTTTACTGGGGCACAAAACTTAAGTAAGCAAAAACAAACTAGTATTTGTTCATTGCTTAAGCATTCAGCCAACCAGCCAAGAGATGGTTCAAAAATATCTCAGCTCGGCTGAAGCCCTTAGAAATCATCAGCTTTACACTGAACTCATTGAACCCTCGTCTTTTAAGAATTAGCATCCTGCCTTGTCATTCCTTTTTGATAATCCTGTGTGTGATTTATAAGTGACCTTCAAGCATTTTGCTGTCAAAAGGTAAGCCAGGTTGAAATCCATATTCTATAATTTGGTATTTCAGCGTCGTATGGTGTGAAGAGACTTTGTATCTTTGATTAACTTTTTCTGTATAGATGAATATTGCAACAAATTAGATGGGCAGGGAAGAAAACACGAATGTTTAAATTACATCCTCAACGGAAGATGCTAAGTGTAGATTTTTGTTTTTATGTTCTTTCATTCATTTTCTAAAAATCTGAGTGTAGCATTCAGTATAGAAAAACATATTTCCTAAGCTGTGTTTGTAATGAAAGTCTAGCCCATTTATCATAACATATCCATTAGGGGCAATTTTGTATGTAATACAAATTAATGCTGTTTTGACCATTTCCCAAATAATTATGTAGGAGGCATCATCACTGAAGCTGTATCATAGTTGTTATATGGTGGTTTTCTTCACTACCTACAGATTTTAACTCCAGTTCTCATTCTCCTTCCTAGTGACATATTTCACTAAGTTAAGCTTGTTTGATCATGAGCAGAGCATTCAAAAATGGCTGAGTGTACAACCACAAGTGTACATCATGTTTTACTCATTTGGTTTGTACGGTTTGATTGGGTTTGTTTTTTAGATTCATAAGTAGATTTTTTTAAAGTGTGCTGTTCCCTTGTCAGATCTGCTTTGGCATTAAATCAGAGGCATTTCCAGTGTTTGATCCTAAATGTATGAAGACCGTACCATTTTTCAAAGTTATTGCTTCCATGTGGTGGTTTACTTTTCTTCATGTTACAATAAGATATCGATTCTTACAATAATGTTTGCATCCCACCCAAATGCATAAATAGATGCTAGTCAATATACTTCAAGACTTCTAAAAATATCTATCAGCATCTTTCACCATCTGTTCTGAACAGACAAAATCATCTTTACTAGTCAGTGCTTGTGAGAATCTACGAGTAAAGAAGCATAGCTGCAAATTCATTTCCATTTTTTCTAAAGGAGAAGCCTGTTGGGAGACTGCTTTAACAGCTAAGGAACAGAGCAGTATCCTGCTTGGCCAGCTGAGGTACATAGACAAGAATTGCTAGTGGGTGCTTTACATCTGTGGAGTCTTTGTTAAGCAGCATCTGAAATATAGAGTTGGAGTGGGTGGAGGCAAGGCAAAATGAGACAGGCTCATCAGCAAGAAAATTATTTCGAGTAGTTTGCCAAAAATACAAGTACTTACCAGATCCAGAGGGAAATGCACTGACAAGGCTTTTTCTTGCTTTTTTGGCCATTTCAAAGTCATATCAGGTTCATAGTAGCCACGCACTGCTGTCAAGCCACTCACCAGGATCAGTCTAAAAGCCGACACCTGATTTAGAGCAGTCACATTTCTTTGTGAGTGTTGTATTTCTTCCTGTGGTGCTGCTGCTGGTGGGTTCAAATTTTGCAATGCTATGCTGAGCATGATGGGAGTATAATATCCCCCTCCCCTACTTTACCTCACTTCCCCATCACTTCCAACACCTCTGAAAACATGACTTGAAGCAGCATTCCTTCTGGTATTGGCGCTGAGCGAATTGTGCTGGCAGCAGAGGAACACAGCAACGCAAGGTTCAGCCCTGTTCTCCCACATACACTTTGTGGGAATCACACACACACACACACACACACACACACCCTTTAGGCTTTAGATGTGAATGGGGTGCAGGGGAAGGTTGGAGGTGTGTAGAACGCAAAGTGGCTGCTTCATCACAGCTCATTTGGTCCTACAGGCATGATTAGACCACAGTGAACCACTTGTGTTCTCCCGCCTTTTCTTTTAATAATTTCAAACCAGTTATTGTGGATGGGAGGAAGCCAATTGGCTTAGGACCATGGGGGTGGTCAATTCATATAATCCTAGAAACAGTAAATTAAGATTATACTTGTATGTATTGAAGCTTAATGTATGTAGCAGTACATTCTCGTACATCATACCAAGGCCAAGATGCCCAATCAGAGCACGCCTTGTAATAAGCTGCTTTGGTATGAGTGATTGGAGAGAGGAACTGGTTCATGAAGTTTTATTGAATACGGAAAATACTTGGCTGGGCTTTAACCACCCAACCGTGTTTGCAAAACAATTGAATCCTGGGGATTTGCAAACATATTTGGCACATTGGGATAATTTTATGGACAGAGCGAATGTGATAAAATTTCATTTAATTGCAATGATTTATTTAATGAATATGGTAAACTTGCTTTTGCCAGTACTGGATTTACTCACTGTTGCTGTGGGATAAGAAAATTCTTCCTTTAAAAAATGTGTTCTTGTATTGCTGAGTATCAATTTACAACTCACTTTTTTTAAGGTACTCTTTTTTTTCTTTCCCTTCTCTTACCACTTTCACTCCTTAGAATATTTTTTCTCTTTCTGTGATTCCTTTACAGCTGCTGCACATTCAGTCTGATTATGAATGCCACATGTTTCAAAGACCCTCCACCTTTTTCTGGGGTAGCAGTGAGGATTCTGCTCCTTGTTTAGATATTTCTTCCATTACACTCACTCCTATGAGCTCTCCTGACTCCAGACAATCATCTGGACTATTAACACCACCACCTTCCAAAAGTGGTCCTCCAAAGCCAGTCCATGAATACATCATCCCAAGACCTCGTGTAATCCGACTGGGCACAAACAGTCCTTTTTTTCCAACTTTCCTATCTTTGTTGTGTTTGAATTGTATCAAAGTGCTACATTTTGTACAGTGGTTAAAGGACAGACCAGAGGTGTTTCATATATTGAGCATTTTGATTCTCCTACATCTTGGCCTTAGAACAATGCTGTATGTTCCCAGCACTTAAAAAAGTTCTCTCCTTTCCAACTGCGTAAGGATAATCTCATACCATAATGCTTTTGTTGGTTCATTAAGTTAGAGGAGCAATAATGTCTTCAGGCAGGAGCAACAAAAGCTGCCTTATCCTGGGCCAGGCCATTGGTCCATCTAGCCCAGTGTGGTTGGCACTGACTGGCAGCAATGGCTTTCCAGGGCTTCCAGCTTAGAATTTTCCCAGCTCTGTGTGGAGGTGCTAGGGGCTGCACCTGAGACCTTCTGCATGCGAAGCAGGTGCTTTACCCCCAAGCCACAGTCCCTCAAACCGAAATGCACCAACGCACAAATACTTCCTTCTGACCACATTTGTTCAGCATCTTAGGCCTGCACCACTTATGACAGGGGATTGTGATGATGAAAACAATGCCTACACAGTGCTTCAGGAATTGAAGTCTGATACATAAAGGCAAATGAAAGATAAGTCCAGCTAACAGGTTCCAACTCTAAAAGAAGACCTGAGATTGGATTGCATAAATCATTTAGGAAAATGCAGAAAATGACCCAGAACTCGTTTTTCTTTTTTATAACGTTCTTTTTACCTCTGTGCAAAATGAAGAATGCCCGTTATTTATTCCAGAGAGAAGCTGTAACATGTTTAATGACTGTAAAAATGGGCTGATACAATCAGTTTTCATTTGCAATTAACAGCTGGCTGTCCTTGGCAAACGTTGTGGCTTTATGCATGGGTTTACTCAATAAAAATGCTTCCCATTGTCATTCAGGGTAGAACTGCTACGCATTTCTTTGAAAATAAAGGATAATTTTCATTAGTGTTGATGTACCTAAGAGGAACAAAAAGAAATAAGAGCATTTATTCTCAATTTGTGATTTAAAAAAAGTTTCAAGTAATAATTGTTTCACTTTTCATGCTTTCTGTAGGTTTTTATGGAAAAGATTGATTTCTAATAGCATAGATTGATGCTTGTGTCAGAAACCTGTGAAAGATCTGTTTTTGATCCATGGAGTATTCACTTAAAGATGAAATAAGTTACAATAGTTGGAAGTCAAGGGGCCCCCATAACCTTACCCAAGGAGTTGTGTGTATCCATTTTGAGATTTTTGAAGGCTTTTTTTTTTCTTTGAACAAGGTGATACTCTTACACAAACAATTTGTGAAAGTGCCATCCAAACGATGTTGCTATTGTTAGGTTTCTCTTTAAAAGATTCAAGACAGCTTAAAACAAATTTGTTTAAAACATACAGAATAATGTTTATTAAAATTCCAAAACACTGTAAGGTAACTCAAAGATCAAAGGAACCCTAACCAGAACAACTGCTGAATAACAAATCCATCTTTTGCTAAAGTTTGAACTGAGGTCCCATAAAATCAAGAGGAAAAGTTGCAGCACAATCCAAAGTGAGGCCAGGGAGAGAAATATGAGACAGATTTTCTGCCTGTGCCAGCATGCGCTAGCCATGGTGGATCGGGGCGGGGGGTGGGTAGATGATTTCCTTTCCTCCCAACAGTGAAGGTTTTTTTTTTTTTTCTTTTAAGCTTTTCTGTTAGCCACAACAGGGCAGGATCTCCGTGTGTTAGCTCTAAGCCAGGGGAGGGGAGGGATCCATTGTGGAGCAGCTTGGATTCCAGCACAGCTAAAGCTGCCCCTTAAGTGGGCTTTCTGTTTGGTACCACCAGCAGGAGTTGCTGTCTCTGTGGGGAGCGGGGGCTGTTGTGGCCAAGTGTGTCTCTATGGGCAGAAGTCAGTGAAGAGGCATGTCTGCTAACCTCCTCCAGCCTTTAATACTGAACTGTTCACATGTCACAACAACCCATCATGGCTTAACTTACCCATCATGTGACTGTGGACACCATTACATGGTGGTCCAAGTTGCCTGTCATGTTATGCAAACCCAGAATGGCCGAGGGGCTAAGAGACAGACAACCCTCAAAAAAGCCCAAAACAAACTGTGGGGTATTGACCACTGTCAGATCCTCAAATGAACTCCTGCTGTCTGAGTTCATTTATGAACTTCTGTATCTAAATGTATATGCTGCCCATGAGTCCAAAAGGATTCTTCAGGCAGCTTCTAAGACTGCAAGCCAGGGACCCACAAGTGCCATGCAGAAATGACAGTCCATTCCCCATGGGCTTGCATGTCACGTGTACCGCATCCAGGTGTGGCTAAGAGTGCATTCTAAGTGATGACTTAAGTTGAGTCTTATTGATTTCAATTCAAACGATCAGCCATTCAGACATCAGTTATCTCAGTATGGCTCTTTGTCTTGTGGGGTGGAAGACAATCTAAAAGCACCTCAGGCTCATGGATGCTTTGGATCCTGTTTGTCTGAGCCCAGTGCAGAAGGCATTAAGCACATGTTCGGTCCCATTGGTCTTTAATAGGAGCAAGTTAAGCATGTTCTACATCATTTCCTGTAAATGTGGTACGTGAAGGTGAGGAATAAAGGCAGCTATTTATTGTGATACTATTCATTCTTAATATTGCCTGGTTCGTCTTTTTTAAATGAAAACCATAAACAAATTAACTGAGTAAAAGTAATTTATACCACTTCCACGTAAGGCTTGTGATGTCATAATCCTGATGTGCACAAAACACTGTTTGAATTGTTTGATCTCTCTGGCTTAAGAGATCAGACCCAATATGTATTTACTTGGGATTATACATCTCAGAAATGTATTTGCTGAACTCTTCTAGTGTGTGGATTAGCAGATGTTTATTAAAAATGGAGGTTAGGGCTTATGCAGTATCCACATTATACAGACACCAGCATATTTTGGTTTCAGCAAAAGTTCACTGTACTTATCTGAACTGTCCTGCATTCATTCGTCTTCATCTCAGTCTTTGAGATCCCTGCATGAACCCCTTATTAGACACACTCGGCATTTTAGATAGAGCCACTGATATCTGTCTGCCAGTGGCGTCACGCTTTCTCCAGTTTCAAAGACGTGGCAAACATCAAGAGTGCACAGGAGTGCTGGGGTTTATTGAGGCAGCTCTAACTAGCATGTCTCATACTGCATTTTTAAAATGTACAGCTCATGCATTCAGGTCCACATTCAAAGATAGCCACATATACGGTAAAGAGAACCCGCCATGTTGCACAGGAGGTAGCCGTGCTACTATCCTTTCTTTTTAAACAGTGGGTGATGACCATTGTAGGACATAAGACTACAGTTTGCTGAGAAGCCTCTCACAGGAACTGAGACTAAATACCCACCTGTCTAGGGAAGCCTCCTGCCAGTTGCATTTCAGCAGCTGGTCCAGCTGAAGTCTCCAGACAGAGCTTGAAGAGGAAGGGAATATGAGACCTGGAGGGTCACAGTGTGCCTTGAAGAGGGGAATATGAGACAGCACTGGTTATCACTGATGTTACAGAACCTTCCCGATAGATTTTTCATAACACTTGTCCACCTACATTACAGTTTTTGCTGTTCAAATGCTGAGAAATGAGATCTTATTCAGATGTCTTAAGGTGCATGTATGTACTACCCTATAAATAAATCAGAGCTAGGAGAATGTTGAAACTTGTTCCCAGCTTAACCTTAAGATGCTGATAATCCCTGCTTCTTCCTCATCTTTTCTGTGTTCTCGCCTTTACCTGGTTATAGAAAAGTCAAATTCCTAACCCTGCTTAGGGACCTCAAGAGTTTTGTAACTCTTTGAAAAGATAGTGGTGGAACATGATAAATTTAGTTAGAGTTGTTCAGTGACAGGAGCATAGAGCATTGTAATCAAAGGAAACCTTCTGTTTATGGAAGGAGCTCCAATCTACCAAATCCGGGGTGCTGACTCACTCCTCCTGCATTCCTCTGTCAGACAGATCTACTCTGGTGGATCTAAACAGCACAAGGAAGTGTTGGGCTTGTAGTGCGAAAAGGAAATGGGTAAAAATTGCTTCTTTGGTAGCCTCAGCTAGATCAGTGACTTATATACACAAAGTGACTGCTTCCACATACAGATGGGCACTACTGAGTACAAGCCAGAGTTTTGTAATGTATGGACACTACCAATGTGCAAAAACCAAGAATGAGATCCTGAATGCATTTAATGACCAATCAAAACATGACATGTCAACAAACCCTAAATAATAAGTGGGAAAGCTTCATACAGAGATACAGGACAGGATCTACATATCTGTTCCATTGTTGGCAGAAGATATATGTAGGCCCAATGAGCCTTGTTCTCATATAACATTAATATGATCAAACTAGAATTTTTTTTGCAAAACACTTCAGAAGTAGCTCTATTTTCTTTTACTTTGCAGGCTATGATCTTGCAGAGTCAATAAAATACACTTGAGAGGAAAATTGCCTTAAATTCTTTTCTGCATATCAGTCTTCCTTTGTGTACATTTTTATTTGCTACCTTGTTTTTAGGACAGTGTTCTTGTTTACAGTGCAATGGTAATGACAAAATGATCATCAAATGTGGTTAATATTAATCAGGTATGCTATGGTACACCAAAGTTATTTTGCTGAAGCCAAACAAAATTCCTGGGCTTTATTTAGTAATGAAATCTTTTCTATGCTAAGAAAAAAAAGTCATTTTCATTAATGTGTTGGTATCCCAATTGATGCTTTATCACATAATGTTTTCCAAGCATTTAGAACAACTACTCTGTCAGGCTGTCAGAGTATTAATCTTTTTATTACACATGATGGAGTTATTAAAATGAAACTGAAGTCATATCTCTTAATTTCAGGCACTAGTTCAGTATTTTCTGATTTATAACCTACTGCCCTCGTAAATGGGCATTATCTCTCTCCATGCAAAAGATGTTCATATTTTTTTTCCAGCTCTTTTATATTTAAAAGTCATTTAATTTCTGGATACGCCAGATATGCTGAAAACATGTAATGCTACAATACTGGTTGTGTGCGCTAAGGCTTTAGCATGTCTCATAAACCTTGGGCTGCAAATGCTATTTCCTCGGTGCTGGCTCTTTGTTTTGGCATGCCACTCTGTTTGATAATGTAGCCTCTTATCTTCTGCATGCAAAAAAGAAAATAAAATTCAGTATTGTGATCTTTTTTCATGTGAAATATTACCCTAATGTTTATTGTCCTTATTGTAGGCAGGCAGTGTGACACCTAAATCACCCTCCACTGACATCTTTGATATGGTTCCCTTTTCTCCCATATCCCCTCAGTCATCAACACCTACTCGCAATGGCACACAGCCTCCACCAGTGCCCAGTAGATCTGCAGAGATCAGTAAGTTCTGTAATGACTGACCTAACCTTTTGCTTCTATATAAATATATATAGAGAGATATATAGATATAGATGCAGGAAGAATTGATGCATATCTTCATGCTCAGCCAAATACAAGTCTTGGAAAACACACACTCATTAATGACAATGTGAGTTATTTTGTCTTGATTCTGGGGTGTACAATCTGATCTTTGATGTATGCACAATGCGACTAACAATTCCACATGGTGCCTAAATTATACTGTTATTCACAGTCTGATCTCATTTTGTTTGGAAGTATAATATTCTGCCAGTTAATCACATAACAGCCTTTTATTTGCTGTATTGATTGTCCCTTTTGGCTGGTACAAAAGGTATCTTCAGCTAAATATATGCTAGAGGGCTTTATACAGTGATGTGTTATAAAAGGAAAGTTTAGAAATTGAGATTTTTTTTCTGTTAGTTTGTTTAATTTTTTGCAATAGTAGTATTAGGACATGTTTGCTCATTCTTTCCCAAAGAGCAGCCATTTGGTTCCTTGCTTATCTCAGAATAATGCTTCTAACCACCTCAGCCATGAGTCATCTGCTATAGTTTTCTCATTTGTTCTCATGCTGAGGGAGAAAAGTAGCAGCGATCCCTTCTTCTAGTACCAGAAGAAATAGAAAGCAGGAGATAGAGTTGATAACAAACACTGCAAAGATGTTTATGCCTGGAAGGACAGAAACAGATCCAGTTCTACTCTAAGGACATCTACAGAACCAGTTATTTACTCTCTTTTGAAGCAGCCCGGAAAATATATCAGAAAAGTGTTGCTCAGTTTCCCAGGATTATTGTAAACTTGTGCCTGTGGGCAAGTGCCTGTGTGAGCTACTTCACACAACAAAGCTATCAAGTAATTTCTGTAGTTATCCTTTGATGTCAGTGGCTGACAGTCTTGCAGGTCTGTGTCAGAGGACTGCAAGTTTTGATTTTAGAGATGGAACTAAGCATTTCGGAAAAGTACACATCCCCTTCCCTCAGGGCCCAGTTGGACTGGGCCAGAACCAAGTTGTGCCACTGTTTTCCCTGGTGACGCCTGTCCTTTCTTCATGGGTAAATCACATGAGTGGTCCCATTCAGCCTGGGAACACAAATACAGTAACATAATGCAGCCTTGCTGAATAGGATGTCGGTACGTAAGACCACAGCCAATCAGATGCAGCTGCATCACTTGCCAGGGATGCATACAGATGCATTTTATTGTGTGAAATTTTAAAAAACCTGCTGGAAGGGGAAGCTCTTTTCAGCATTCCCAAACACATCTTGCGGTAGAATAAGCATTGTAAATTCAGATCCAGCTCCTGGTATTGTACTGTTATATATCCATTGTTTGTGTTAACGTAACACAGATCACAACTGGAAATTACTGCCATAGATTAGAAGTCAGGCCTTGTTGTCTCACTTCATTCTGTTTGGGCTGGGCACAGACTGCATAAGGAAAATCTCCAAGGATGTAGCCATCAGCCCAGAGAGTAGCCAGCGAGCTGAATTTTAGGCATTTGCACCGTTGATCCTGAGCAACCTTTTGATGTATATTCAGGCCAGATGCTGCCAGATCAAATGTTGCAACAGAATGAGCAACAAATAAAATCTTGGGCTTTGGGCTTTACTAATCAGTTGATGTCCTCCCCCACTTCCACCACTGGAAGCCTTCCTGCTAGATTATATATTGAATGGTCTAAAAACCTTAGGGTAATAACTTCCTCTGGGACCTTCCCATATGACATATTGAGTCCTACAGATCAAATTGCCTTTAAAGAAAGACTTGTGCCGAACTGCTTCAACTATCTACATAAATAAATAGTTGTCCCAGGAACCATAGAAACATACAAGCCCCACTGTCTCCACAAAACAAATCTATGGGATTGAACTTAAAATGAGTCATTTTCTCCAAATACACAACTGGAAGAAGAACTTGTTTAGAAACATATAATTGAAATACATTTCAAAACCAAGTGCAAAACTTGGAAAGGCACTAGATTTTCCATGCCAAAAGAACTGTGAGAAGGACAAAAATGATGCTGCAAAATACCTTATTTTAAAGCAAGGACCAAGAGTCTGAGCTGTAAAGTTCCTGGTTCAAATTTCATCCAGTAACTCACTAGGTTTGCCCCCCACCCCCAAGCCTTTATCACTTAGCACCTTGCCCAACAATTTTTAATTGGAGGATAAATATAATTAGCCTACATTACAGGTTTGTTATAATGCTGGTTGTGACAGACACTCACATAGTGTGTTATTGCTATAAAATGTTATTATTTATTGGAAGATCTTGCACATGTAGCACATAAAACAAAATATCTCTCTGTTTCACCAAATTTTAACAGTCCAGAACATGGTCATTCTACTGCAGGTCATTTTATGTATAAAGACAGAACATAGCCATGTAAGAATGTAAGAGCCATGCCAGATTAGACCGATGGCTTATGTAATAGTCCATGTTCCATTCATGTAGTAAGCGATCGACGGCCTATGAGAAACCTGCAGGTAGGATTTGACTTTACCAGCAGCCTGCAAGCTCATCTTCCCTTGCAAGCAGCATGGGAAAAGCCTCCTCCCTTTTTATAGTGGAAGTAATATACACTCTTAGTTTGTTTTATTGGTGCCCACCTTCTACCAAAAATGGGCACTCAAGGAGGTTTATATGATTAGTAGCCATTGATAGCCCTTTCCTCCTCCATTAATTTGTCTGATTTCCTTTTAAGGTCATCCATGTTGGTGGACATCACTATATCTTGTGGTAGTAAATTCCATAGTTCAACTGTGCACTTTGTGAAGAAATATGTACTTTTTCCCCTGAATCTCCCACAGCTCAGCTTGGATGATCCTGTAGTATTATGAGAGAGAGAGAGAGAGAGAGAGAGAGAGAGAGAGAGAGAGAGAGAGAGAGAGAGAGAGAGAATCTCCCACTCCACATTCTCCACACCTTGCATAATTGTGTACACCTCTGTCATGTCTTCCTTCATTTACCCTTTCTCTGAGCTAAACAGCCCCAGACTTTATGGAGACCAGTTCTTATGGAGAGTTGGTCCATCCCCTTGATCACTTTAGGTGTCCTCTTCTACACTTTTTCCAACAGCATAATTTCATCTTTGAGGGTCACTGACCAGAGCTGAGCTCACCTGAGTTCCAGGTAAATTTATACCATGGAATTGTACAAGGGAAGTATTGGTATTGTATTGTACAAGGGAACTATTTTTAGTTCCTTTTCTAATTATTCCCAACATGAAAGATTTGGATGGTACAATCATTACTTGGAGTTTTCTAAAAGTATGAGATAGCAACCTCAAATTTAAAACTTAGAATACTTACTCCTGAAAGGTCCCTATCCACATGGAAAACATACATATATCAGACACTTTATTCATGTGTTCTCGGATCTGTGCATTCAATACACATACACTCCTGTCAGAGAGTAAGAATGGCTTCACTTTGAATGTCATGACATGTGTTAAGAGCTACAAAACAATGCTATTCAACAGTAAATTAGCAATGATGGGAGGAAATTTAGCTATAAGCAAGAGGACATAGGATGTACCTCTCAATGTACTTTACATTGAGTAAAGAACATCACAGAGATACTTTACATGTACCTCTGTAATGTACTTTACAGACTCTCAACCTCTATATTAGTTGAGAGTCTGTAAAGTTTAACTCACAGGTTATAATTCAAAGCATCACATCTGAGAAAACATTTAAATTGACAGAAAATAAGTGAGCAAGAAATGGTTACATGTAGGCTTTTCTTAGGTCACATGATTTCATACATCTGAACCTATTTTGATGTAGTGAAGTTCCAGGAAGCCTGTACCACCCTCTTTGTCTGAACTTAATAGATCAACAATAATTGCTGGGATTAGTAGATGCTCTTTAAAAAGAATATAATGCAAGTCAGGGCCTTCTCTTCTCTCTTCTCTTCTCTTCTCTTCTCTTCTCTTCTCTTCTCTTCTCTTCTCTTCTCTAGCTTGATAAACTTTCTGATCTCTACCAAAGTCAACACTTTGATGATTGCTTAACTTATTAATATTGAATGTGTGTCTGCTGAGTTGCCCCCCATGCAGGCTGCAGTTTTTGAATGCCCTATAAAGGCTTCAGGCTTAAGCAAAGACAATTGTATTCTGCAGAGATGTGTCCTGGAATTCTAGTGGATGTCCCAGGATCAATCCTGAAATCATACTTCAGAAGAAAACTAAAAAAAAATCAAATTTAAATCATGGCTGCTTTTTCTGAGGGGCAAGATGCAATGAGACCTAAAATGTCTGGATCACAGAACCATCCAGGGTCCAACTTTGAAGAGTACAGCATAATACAGGCAGTAAATATTGCTGTTTGGGCTGCCTACATTGATGGTTTTCCAGGTATCTTACTGTCTGGGCTTCCATATACTCCAGCTCCCATGTGTTGCTGACTCACTGTTTTTTTCTTTTAGAGAGAGACCTTTTCGGAGCAGAACCTTTTGACCCATTTAGCTGCGGAGCAGGAGATTTCCCTCCAGACATTCAGTCCAAACTAGACGAGATGCAGGTGATCAAATGTTTACCTTTGCAATCAATCAGTCAGTCAGTCAGTCATGCTCTAACATGATGTTCTGGGTTCTTAAGAGGGAAGTTTGATCATGCAGTGGGTTCGTAGCCTATCAAATGTTCACTGTTGCAAAGACAACAAAAAGGGGTGTTAATTCGGGCATCTATAATATACTTTCTCCGCTTCCCTGGTGGTGATGGTTGCTGCTGCTGCTTTATTACTCTAGAAGCCACTGCAGGACATTCCAAGAGGAGATGCATTTGTCCTGATTGTGTAAAAGCACCATCGCTTTCACGGGAGCTACACAGAGCATATGGTTTGAAGACACCAAGCTAAATGTCATTATGGGGTCACCGAGCCAGAAGGTGCCGACCACAAAAGAGCACATTGCAACATGCAGGCCTGTCGTATACTAAAGATCTCCTGAGAGGGATCAGAGTCAGCACGATATGACATCGTGGGCCCCTTAACTTGCCTCGCAGGCCAGGCATTTGCAATCCTTGTTCTAGAATTCATACTTGGCATTTTCCTCTCCCATGCTCTGAGCATGCCAGGTCACCCTTGTCCATCTTGCTCTGTGCCTTGTTAATTAAGCTCCTTAATGGAATCCCTTAATCGTACCCCACCCATCCGATAAAGGTGGCACATGCACCCCAACCCAGTGATTGTGTCCCCTCCATTCTAGTCTCACGTAAACACGGTGAATCCGCTACTTACACATCATTCCAAACCCAGCAAGTCTCCTTGCCTGTGTCTTCTCATCGCTGCTGGGCATCCTTATCTCCTTGCAACATCACATTTGCATTAGCACAGTGATGGGATTTGTCTTGCTTTAACGCCTCTCTAATATTACTCCACATTTACAGAGTAAGAAACCATGCTAGAACCACTTTTGATGGTACACCGAATTAATCAAAGATACCAACATTGCCTAAAAGATTTGTATCTATGTGAGGAAAGTGCTGTACAAACATCTATCTGATCCCAACAGTGGAGAACTAGTCATAGATTTAGATGACTAAAATGTCTTGCTTGAAAGAAACTGTATATTTTTGCTGCATATACTTAGAAATATATAATGCAGGGAATATCATGAGAAGGATGTATGAGAATATCATAATGCAGGGAATATTGTGAGAAGGAACTCAGCTGAATATTGATTTCATATTATCTGATTTCAATATTCAATTTAGCTTTGCATTAAATGTTTAAATGAATGAGAATGTTATTACTGATTTTGCCCCATCTGCTAGAGGTTCTAATATCTGTTCTGTTTCTTTGTGCTTTCGTGGATGCATAGCGTCAGCGATGGTTGGTATATTCTTTTACATAAATGTTAACTCATTTCATACAAAATGTTGATTTCCCAGATATTTGCGTTAGTGTCCAAAATCTAAGTGTGAGGACTTGTGTTGTGCTTCTTTCAAAATGTTTGTGTTTGACCTCCTCTCACCAACAGGACTCATTTATAGTCATCAGAACCCCATTTATTTATACTTTTTGTGAGCAAAACTGGGAGGACTTTCTTGCCAGCTCCTTTCCATGTGGTCCATTTCCCACTGGCTGTATTAATTCAGTGAGATACCTGTGACTGTGGTGTGCATCAGGAAATAATGAACAGTTTTATTCAAGCCTAACTTGAGAGCATACACAAAATGCCGTGACTTTGGGGCTGCATCAGGCAAGGTGGCGTGGCGGCTGTCCTGCAGTTCATCCATGCATGGTGGTGCTGCATGTACAACAGGAAAAGGTGCTTCCTACCCCCACCATTGGTCCTGGAAGAAGCTGCCACCCATGCACAAACTTCCTCACCTCCTTCACTGGCAGGGAAGTGTCTCTTCCTTGTGGAGGAAAGGGTATGTAGTCACACTGCCACCTGGTAGACATGAACCAAGGGGAGGAAACATGTTTCCGAAACCATGATCACTAGCCAGCAGGCATAGATGGTATCTGCCTCAGATCTTTCGGCATAGATAGCCAGTTCTAAATCTAAGGTTTCCTGCATGTTTTGGTGCAGGAATCTCTCCAGAGCATATGCCTTGATTTTTCATCTATTTTTACTCATCTCTGCAATATTGTACTCCAAAGTCAGTGGACTAGCCTTTCAAATTATTTATAGATCAAACTGAAAACTAATTCCACACAAATGAATAGTTCCTGAAACATCCATATCTATACCAGACAAAATGTTGCTGGAAATGTTCTGGCTTATTTTTACTTCATAAGGGATGAGTTCCTATACTCTGAAAGGAGCCCTTATATTCCTGGCCCCACACCTAGGGATATCCATGCCAACTCACAGCAGGCAGATGGCAAGTTCCTTCAACAAACATACTTTTGCTATGATGCTCTCTGCAAAGCACCTAGAAATCTGATACAATCGACCCACTATTTCCTAAGTCAATATTTATTTTCCTTGCGATTGATTAAAGGTGATTGATTCCTGGGACTTAAGGTACTAAGCATCATTCCTGGGACTTTAGGTACTAGGCACCTTCTTAGCATCATTAGAACCTTCTGGCATCATCCTGCCTCATTCACAAAATTTGACAAGGAATCCAGATGAGGTCCTCTTTCATTTGTAACCCTCCTGTTTTCCCAGCACTTCCATGTTTTTCTAATCCCTTATTTAAGGAATAAGGAGCTCCACCATTCCTAGTCAACCACAAAAGCAGACTAGGGAGAAGACATTGTGAATACTCTTCTGGAGCGTAGTTCCCATAGCTTTTTCTCACACATGTGGTTTGAAAGAAATTAACAAGCTTTTAAATGGGCTTGATTATCCCAGCTAATCATTTCCATCTGTTCTGAGCATTGAACAAATGCCTTTCTTTCCCTTTTTTCAGCTTTCCAAAATTAATATTATGACACGTGCTTTTGTGTTTCAAATTATACTGCACATGGTTTATTGAATGAAACCTTATGTCTCCTTATTACCACTATAAAGTGGGGGGGACTTCTTTAAACCTACGAATAGAGGAGGAAATCGGAAGTCATGGTACAGTGGTTTATTCCACAGTAAGCAGGTTATTTTGCATGATAACTTGAAATAACTTGAACCTGTTTTGTAAGCCCGTCCAGAGACAAGAGAATAAATAAAATAAATACATAGAAGGAAAATCAAAGACCATTCCTGTAGATCTGCGCCACAAATGGATCAGGTCAGCTATGTTTCAGAAGTGCATTTCAGTTGTATATGTACTGGACAGAAGCAACCTAACCTTGAATATCCTGCAGTGCCATAACAAGCATAATCAAACAGTCCATTAGTATACCTGCCAACCCCTAAAGCTTTTGTAAGCCATCCAGAGACTTTTAGTATTCGGACAGCATATAAAAACTTTAAATAATAAACAAATAAATAATGGCTTTGTAACTCACAGTATCATGATCCAGTGGGTTTTCCTCATGTTACCCAATTCCTTGTCAGTAAATAATAATTATATTGAATGGGGCTTGTTGACATCTCTTAGATGTATATGTATTTTATTTTATTTTTATTTATTTATTTGTTTAGAACATGTGTATAACACATTTGTATAACACCCAAGGCAGCTTATTATTATTATTATTATTATTATTATTATTATTATTATTATTATAACATTTCTATGCCGCCCCTTGCCGAAACCTCGGGGCGGCTTACAACATGATAAAATACATTGAAATACAATAGTACATAATAAATTACCATTAAATATAAAAATACAAAAAATACATTGATTTACAAATACAAAATTAAAATTATCAGTATAAAATAAAAATATAGGAGGAGAAAGAGAAGGAAGAAGAAGTTGCCCAGGCCAGATCATATGTTTTAACAATGGAAATGATGTTTAAATAAAAAGGTCTTTACCTGGCGCCGAAAAACCAGTAACGACGGTGCCAGGCGGACCTCTTTGGGGAGTGAATTCCATAGGTTGGGCGCCACCGCAGAGAAAGCCCTCCTCCGGGTACTTACTCTCCTAATTTCTTTCATGGAGGGTTCCCAGAGAAGGGACTCTCCCGCAGATCTCAAGGGGCGGTCGGGCATATACGGACATAAGCGCTCGTTCAGGTAGCCAGGACCCAAGCCGTTTAGGGCTTTGTAGGTCATAATCAACACCTTGAATTGGGCCCGGGCTTCAATGGGAAGCCAGTGAAGCTGATGGAGGACTGGAGTCATGTGAGCATAACGCCCCGTCCCCGTCAGCAACCTGGCAGCTCTATTTTGCACCAATTGAAGTGTTCGGACTGTCTTCAGGGGAAGCCCCACGTAGAGCGCGTTACAGAAGTCTAGGCGGGAAGTCACCAGCGCGTGTGTCACCGTCACCAGGCAGTCGTACTCCAGGTAGGGGCGCAGCTGATTAATCAGCCGAAGCTGAAGGAAGGCGTTCCTCGCTACCGCTGTCACCTGAGCTTCCAAAGAAAGCTCCGGGTCGAGGAGTACTCCTAAGCTGCGGACCTTATCCCTAAGAGGATATCTTTATCTGTGAAGCCCAAGGCAGCTGAGAGGCACCCTGACCAGCGCTGCCGTCCTGGCTTGCATTCGGCTCAGAAGCAGGCAGGCAGCGCATTCGGACAGCCAACGCCAGCAGGACACAATTGGTGTTAGATGCTCAGACCTTCTGGTACCCTTTAGTAATCGGGTTGCCACATTTTGCACAAGCTGCTTCCTTCAGTGCAGTCCCACATAGGGTACACTGCAGTAATCTAATTTGGAAATTAGCAGATTATAGTTTACTGAAACCAACTGATCCAGGTCCAAATAAGGGTGAAGCTGGGCAGCCTACCTGGAGCTGATACAAGGTACTGCGTACCACTGAGGCCATTAGACCCTGAACTGACAAAGAGGGTTCTGAGAGGACCCCCAAGGGAAACCTGCTCTTTCAAGAGGAGCGCAGCCCAGTCCTGTTCAGATCCAGTCACAAGATTAACAGTATCTCAGCCTTCTCTGGACGGAGCTTCAGCTTGTTAGCACTTTTCTACTCCATTGTCTCAGCTAGGACTTAGCGCATACACAGCCTCACCTGATGAAGAGGAAATGGAGAAACAGAGCTGCATATCACTAGCATACCAATGACAGTGCACTCCAAAACTGACCCCTGGGGAGCCCCATGCTGTAAAATCCATGATGCTGAGTATTATTCTCCAAGCACCACATTCTGGAGCCATCTAGCCAACTAGGAGTAGAACCACTGCAGTGCAATGCAGCATCTCTCCGCCCCACCCCAGTTCATACAGTCGACCTAGAAGGATACCATGATTAATGGTAATGAAAGCCCTGAAAGAGATCAAGCAGCATCAGCGAGGTCACCATTCCCCATCCCTCTCCCAACATAGCTCATCCTACTGGGCAGTCAAAACTTTCTTTTCTCAAACTTGACCTGACAGAAATGGTTCCAAATGAGCAGTCTCACCCAAGCATGCCTGCAGCCAGTTGGCTACCACCCTCTCCAGGAAGTTGCCCAGGAAAGGAATATTTGCTATCAGTCTAAAGTTGTTAAGAACGTCCAAGTTGAAAGAAGATGTCATAAGGAGGCATTAATCACCTTCGTGGTCCAGCTGGCTGTTCCCTCCCTGGCAGTTTTTATAACCCAGTGGGGACAAGGCTCCAGTATGGAGTGCTTACATGAACCTGAGCAGCTGTATTGACACATCCAAGAGCACTTGACCAGGTTGTGCTCTCAAGCGGCTCGCCTGATTCAGCTGCTGTAACATTAGAATCTAAGTCTGAACGATGCAATTGATCTTGTCCTGAAGCTGCCTAGCAAGCACTTTATGGTGGACCATAACAGGTCTATAATGAGCATGGAGTAAGTGTTAGACAACCCTAAAAGCTCTGTGGGGCAGCAGAAAGGGGCAGTGAGAGGTTGTTTCTTCGCTGCTCTCACTCCCTTAGTATATATGATTATAGGCACATTCCAAGTTTTGAATGCCTCCACTAAGTTTCTCTGCATCTGTGCTCCATCTCCATCTGAGAAGAAGTGGGACTCAGAGGAAAATCTTTGCATTTATGTTCATGCAGCAGTAGGTAATTCTTTCAGAATCAATGTTCCAGGGCAGAAATCGCACTGCAAGGCAAAGGTTCCCCGGTGGCTCCACCCCCTTCCCTCGACCCCATTCCACTTGCTTGACCACTGATCCTGTGACGGTTGTCAGCATAGCGCACCACTTTCTGAAAGGTTGAAATGCCTCTCCTAAAGCTTAGTTACTGTCAGGAAGAGCTTGGACTAAAATAGCCTGGTATTTTAACCCCAGCCCCTTGTCTTCATTCCCACCCACCACTGGAACGCAGACCCCCAGGAGCTTCTGCAGAGGAATTCAGACTTTGGGCTAAAACAAGTTCAGCACTTTAAGGCCACAGTTCAGTATGCAGTTACCTGGAAGGAAGTCCACTGAACCCAGTGGGGCCTACTCCTGCATAGACATGTGTAGGATTGAAGCCTTGAAGGTTAAACCTAGCTGTCTGGCTGACCAGTAGCCTGCAAAGTTTTAAAGACCTGCCCGGATGTACTCCATGTGATGGTCTTGCTCAGCAGCCCAGCAGAGTTGAATGAGTTGTGTAAGAAACTGAAGCCAGAATGGAAAGCCAGGGATGGCTATCAGGTGATCAAGCTTTCTGTTGAATTGGATGGAGTCAGAAGCAAGAACTCACACAAATTTCTTAGAGAAAAAGTGAAGCGTGTTTTCAAAGAAGCCTTCAACTTATTTAAAGTAAACTGAGTTTACCTTCTGTTTCTCTGTGCTCTTGTTTAGGTGCGATGTTCTGAGGTCTCTTATCTATTCAGCTTTGCCAAACAGCTTCATTAGAAGGTTAGACTTCATAGGGTTTGTTAAGACTAGACCTACAGTTATATACATTGACACATAAGCATATACAGTTCATATGTTATGTTCCTTTTTAAATTTACCATCAAGTGGCTAACTGGGTTCCTTCCAGGTGTTTGGAACTGCAAGTCTCACAATCCCAGACTATTGTTCATACCAGCTAGGGTTTATAGGAATTGTAGTCCAGAACATCTGGAAAGCACCAACTTGCTTTTGCCTGATTCTTAAATAGATACATAACACTTTGTATCTACGTGCTTTTAAAGAAACCACCTTCAGTCAAGAAACTTGGATTCTATGCATATACGTAGTAGGCAAGGGATGGCAAACGTGGCTTTTCAAATGCTGGACTACAATTTCTGTTGTTCCTCACTATTGGTTGTGCTTCTAGGGATGATGGGCATTGCAGTTCAGTAACCTCTGGAGAGCCACCTCTAACTTAAGGCTACTTAGTTACAAAGGTTTGTGCTATTTCATAGACCTGCAGTCTGTGCATTAAACACCAAAACAGTAAAATTCATCATCATAATTAACACCCTGAGAGTAAGTTCTACATGATGGATTTTTACTTAAGAAAAGGGAATAAATTATCCTTTGTAATTGTAGTGGCATGAAAAAATATTGGTTTGAGAATGAGTTTTAAAGCACTGTCTAGATTTTAAATAGCATTAGAAATCTTGGATAGAAAAAAAAGTCTGTTGACAAGTCAGAGTTAACAATGTGGTTACCAATACATTAATTATATTAGACAAAAGGAAAAGAGTTGAGGTGCCAATAGAGTTTCATGTTTTAAGCTCTAGAAAAACAGTGTAAGAAAGGAGAGCTTGCAGCATTAACCAAGTGCATCCTCCCAAAACTTGCTAGCAACAAGATTCAGATAGTTGTGACAGAAGGGGCTTCATTTCTTGTGGGGTATTATCACAGCTTTTGCCAACAGGAATAGGAATAATAAACAAGAGTGGCTTATTTTTTTAAAAAAAAAAAAGCTTTGTAATCCATTTTCCCTTATAAATAGAAACTGCTTACAGGTCTTACTGTCCATCTGTAGAAATGTTGTGTTTCTAATTAAATAGATCTGTTGGGTTGACCACTGCGCTTTACATAAACAAATGCCAGTTCAGCCAAACTTCTCCAGAGGGCAAAGGGGCCCTCCAGAGTTTGTTCAAGGGTGTAAGGGTAGAGGAGAAGAGAATGCCCCATTGCACAGGTGGAAATCTACTTGCACTGCTTGTGATATTACCCCAGTCATTCTGGGACTGTTCCATTTCATGTATCCCAGAGTTACCGCTCAGGAGAACGACTTAAACACTTTATATAGGCTGGCAGTCCAGAGAGGAACACTTCTCTGCCGGGTTTGTGTGCAGTTGCATGCAGTGTTGCTCCACTAGAAGCGCGGGGTGCCTGCGTACCCCTTGCTGCAGCCGACAGGACTGGAACATGAGATGGAAGCAAGCTTCGTTTGCCACATGTGAATGACTCATTGGCAAATGGACAGGCTTTCTTGTGGATGAGACAGCTCGCAGAGCCCCCTAGGTAGGCATTTGAAGGAAACCACAGTCAAAACCAAAACCCTGCCCTTCTTACCTTAAGTACTCACATCACTATAATGTTAGATTAATGCTGTTTTTCCATTCATTTGTTTTTTCAGCTGGGAATTACTAAAGGTTCTTGCACTCTGTGTTCTTTAACATGTGCCTTATATTTTGGAACAGCCAATAACGTGGTCTATAACTTTCTTGAAGCACTGAAATATGTTTTACTTTTCTTCATGTAACAGTAGCAAGTGTTAGAAAGGGACTTGAACAAGATAGTGTCACTATAGTTGGTCCTTACATATTACAAATATTGATCATCCCATCCCCTTGGCTCATCTTGCGTGGTTTGTAATGGCTTGTTGTTTTTCATTTCCTATTGCAAGAGGGAGAGCCTTTGGGAATTCCCTACACGGACTCCTATAACAGAGGGAGCAAGAATTCAGAGCTTTAACACTGTCTTCATGTTCTGTTCTGATGCCTGCCTTCAGCTGTTCTCAGTTCCATGTTTTTCCTTTGTTGGGCCTAGAAAGGTTTGAGGTGCACTCCACCATTACTTTAAAAATGAATCCATACTAAATGACTACCCTTAAAGTTAAGCAGGAGCTCAACGATGGATGTGTGGACCTCCCCCTCTTGACTATGCAGGAAAGCCCCCAGAAATGTCAACTCAAGGGAGATCTCCCAATGTGCTTTAAATTCCTCATTGGGCAGACTTTTGGCGGAAAGAATTTCAATTTGAGAGTCATCCTCTGGTGTTACTGTTACGAACACCAATTAAGCATCGTTGCATGTGCTGCTTCCCTAATTTAGCAGGGCCGTGGAACCAGGCAGCTGTGGTCTGATAACAGTATCATGAAGACATGTTTTAAATAATACGAGAAGTTAAAGCACATCAAACATAATTAATGAAACACAACACGCAAGCAGCATTTGCTGCGGTCACTGCAAAACAGCCCAGATAAAAAGGCATTACAGTCCCTAAACGTCCATTTGAAAAGTTGAATCCCGTGGTCACGGGGCCACTTCTCAGCAGCATTTGTCAACACCCCATTGTCCTCCAGGGCCACTCTGGGTGGCAAAGGGGACAGAACTGCTCCTACTGCCTGCACTCTGGTTTTCTCGTGAAGTCTACTATGATCACTTGTGATGTCTTTCATGTCATCCCGCCTGCATCTTCCATCCTCCACTGTCCTCACCAACTGGTGAAGATGCAAAGGCACAGTGGGATGACATTATAGGCGACAGAAAGCAAAGAGAAACCCAGAGCTGGAAGCTGTTTCACCAGCTCGTGTACTGCCTCGTTCGGCCTACGTTTCAAGATCTATAAATGATGATGGAACATAAGAGACAGAACATCTCTTAGGAAGGTGGGTCTCAAGTTCTGAGAGGCTTCATAATGACCCGGCCTCACCTCGAAGCAGGAGTGACACTCAGGGGACTGCAGCATGATTGCAGGGACCCAACTTCAGTCACCAGAGACACTGTACAGAGTATGAGTAATGGGTGACTTTTTGACCCTGGACCAGTAGAAAAATGGAAATAAAAGCAACTAGGCCACAGCTGTTTTCAGACCTGAGCTCCTGTCGTCAAGTATCTTACTCTGTTCTCTCCTTTTTTTTCTCTTTTCCAGGAGGGGTTCAAAATGGGACTGACGCTGGAAGGCACAGTATTTTGTCTTGATCCTCTAGACAGCAGGTGCTGATGCCAAGAGTAGACATTTGAAAAGAGATGAGCATTTTTTTAAAAAAAAAGTTTTAAAATGTATTACAAATACTATTCATGTGCCAAAAATGTTTTTCAACATGTTAACTTTTGTGATGTTGGCTTCTATAAAACTCCAGATAGGTCCCAGTATTATCCCTATACAAATGTAAGGGGGGGAAAAGTCACATGTATATGAAACTGAAATGAAATCACGCTGCTGTTTTTCTTTGCCTTCCACATGTGGGAAGTCATCACCTAATAGCAATTCACCGTGTGCTGTGAATTCATGAGTTTGAACCACTCGTGCGTTCCACTGTGTGTTGGCAGGCAGTATCCTTCAAGGCTATGATGGCAAATGGCAACACTTTCGAAAATAAAATCCCTTCCATTTGATTCTTCTTTCCTAATCTGTAGATGAATGTTTATACGATATTGTCAGTAATCACTGAGACACTTAAAAATCACAGTGTACACTGCACATAGGCTGCATTTGCCACATGTTTGCTTCTTGTCCCTGGTCATGATTAAAGCTAGGCCTAGAGTGCTCTTATATAGCTTGTCACATGGCTGGCACCCCGTTCAGGACTGAGTTTTGTGCATGGACAGTGTTGCTTGCATAAGAGTTAATGGTGGGACATTCCGCAGAATTACTGGGTTAGGATAACCCTGTGCAGTTACTACCCTGTATGGATAATATTTAGAACAATATTATAAACCCAAAATTTAAATCTGTAACTGTACCCAGTATCTGTCTATTCCCTGTTATTTTGCCAAACAGAAGCAAAACAAAAAACCAGGACTTTTAAAGGCATGTAATTAAAAATACTACAAGGAAGTTTTTGTGCACATTCCAAAGGGCATTTGTGATTTGTTAATAGGAACGACACTTTTCGGGGGCATTCAGGTGGATTTTCAGCCCTACGTGTACATACACGCCTGCCCCTCGCCCAAAACCACATTTAGGATTGGGGCCCACTGCACTGCTCCTCAGCCACAGTTACTTGGAAATTCTGTTGGTTTCCATGACTTCAAAGAGTACATGCTTTGAGCACTGCTTGCAGCACATGTCAAAGTGCTCTGTGCAATGGAAAAACTTCACTTGGGTTGCTTGGAATTACGCACCGAAGGAAACCCTGAGTGTTTTGAAGTCAAACTTTCTACCGCTCACAAGATTTTATTCTCAGGATGGTCATGGCCTGTGCGATAGAACATCAGAGGGAATATCACGCAGTTCTGTGAGGGAATATCACACAGTTCTGTGGAGCGCAGCCACCCTGACTGCACAAGCAACTTCAGTGGGAGAACACCTGTCTGGCTGCTTGAAATACAGGTCAATGAATGGCTCCATAAGCTCATGCTAGAAGAAAATGTGAAAATTACAGGTCAATTATTTGAGAGGAAAAGGTGAGGGTCAAATTAGCAACCCCTTATGGGAGGGGACAGATTATCCTGTTACCATTTGTGCAGGAAGTTGTTTGCTGAGCGCCAGGGTACTGCTGCCATATATACGAATACTTCATCCAACTAGCAATAAATGGTCCTTTTAGTTGCACATTTCTTGTGTTGAGCAGTTAAATTTCTCTTTCATACTTCCATTTTTAACATAATTTAGCTCAATATGTATAAAAAGACCTTTCTGGGAAAGTTTTCTCCCCTATAAGGATCCTTTCACTGAAAAAAACTAAAGATGTTTGGGATAGGGGTGGGGAGGGTCATGGGAGAAATAGCAGGATAAATGTAAAAGATTATTTTGCTGGTTTTATCTTTTAGAGGGGAAAAAGAAATAGTTTTCTGGTACTTGGTTTGCAAAATGTAGTTTTTGACCTTATATTGCAAGTTTTACACAGAAAATAGGATGCATTTATGCAGTATTATTACCTTTTTAAGCTTAGATCCAGCCTCGGAAGATGCTTAAGCAGATGCCTGGATAGTCCGGGATTCTTCACTGCTTAAGTTAGGCACCTGCTTAGGGATACAGCTCCACGGAGTCTTTACTGTTTGACATAGAGTCAAGTCTTCCTTCTTTCTCATTTGGTCAGGATGCATGTATATCTATATCTCTGGCCGGAATCCAAAGAAAATGGTGTGCATGCATTAGGGGCTTCTGCCCATGTATGAAGAAGCATGTGATTTCCCCCTCCTTGGTTGCAGGCATCCATGTCACATTTATTCCCATTTCAGAGGGTCCTCTGGGTTTCAGGAGCAGCTTAAGTTAACCAGGAGATAACAGATTGCAGCTAAAGTGGGGGTGGGGGGAGGCGGAAAACTTCCATTGTATATGCAAACCACCGCATGTGGCCCTTTGGATCCTGTCAATATAGATATATATGAGATCACTAATAAGTAGGAAAAGACTACATTTCATAGAAGAAGTCTATAATTTTGTTTGTCATATAGTATTTTGCGATTTGTACTACGAGGATGTTTAGCAGCCATGTTAATGGCTTTTTTAAACAAATAGAATTTGTATTTTTATTATACTTTAAAAAGCTTTACGTAACAAGCATATATTTAGGGGCCATTGACTACAGATGGTAACAAAACACTCAGAAAATATTTGCACATTTTAAGGAATCTTTGTTTTACTGATTTTTATGGTAATTGATTCTGCAAATTGCTAAATGTGATCTAACTGATCAAGTCCATAGGAGAACACCTAAATTAATACAGTAAGAAAGTACATTTTCAATGAAATGGTTTAGTGCTCTGGTTGAAATTTGTATTTCTATGTAATCTCAACTGTCTGTTTTATTTTGCTTCAAATAAATGTTTTAAATAATCTTGCCTCATAGGAGCAAACCTTTGTTTCATACACATGCCCAATGGGGAGAAGATGGTCAATACCGAATCCCATGCATTGCACCCAGTTGGAAGCGGGTGAGCATCCTATGCCGAATAGGGAGAGTGGCAGAGGCGATCTCCACCTCCCTGCTCCTGGCTCCTGGCGGTCCGGCTGTGGCACTTCGAATACCTGCCCAAAAACCTTCAGCCTCCCCCCCTCCCTGCCCCCTGCACCGCTTTACTGAGGTCGATTTTCTGGCCTGGAGGAAGCCGCCTGCGTGGTTCTTTCCACTCTGCAGAGGGGAGGGGACGGGACATCTGGGCACGATCCCCAGCTTTGAGGTCAGAGCTGCGTTTCTGCCCTTGGATCTGGGAGTTGAAGAATCCCATGCCCACCCTGTCGAGAGCCCATGAGACCATCCTCCTTGAGGAAGTTGTGTTTTTAACTCGGCAACCCAGATCCGGATCCCCGTGTGCACGCCTTCCCCTGCTCTTTGCAACAGTAGACTAAAATGGGGGCTTGCAAAAAAAATACAGCCTGCTCTTTAAGCGAATGGGGCGATGGATGCATGTATATCAACACCTGTAAGAAAGTTCTGCCCCGATCTATTTTTGTTGCTTTCATTAAACTTCAAAACTGCCCAATAATCCAGGTTCTCTGAGTGCTCTTCAGCACCTTAAAAGATAAAATGTGAACAATGAAACACTGAATAAAAAACAGCACAATATAAAATGCAGGTGAAGCCAGCAGCAAAGAATAAAAACACTGCAGCACATAAAATGAAAGGTAAAACTACAGTACTAGTAAAATAGAAACAATGCACTGAAAGCAGTTCTTACAAGGCCTGGGAGAATAAAGAGTGTTTCATGCATGTGATTTAGACTCCCTATAAGGCCTTCTGAAAAGATCTCCTCCCCTGCCACTTCACCTTACTTGAGGCAGAGGCCAGGAGGACGGCTTCAGTCAAGTACCTTAGAAGCCAGGCAGATAAATCTGGGGGGAGTGGCTCCTTCGGGCACCATCACTCCAGGCCATTTAGGACTGTAACGGTTAAATGGGCTTTTGAGTTGGCCTCAGGAATGGACTGACCATCAGGGCAGATGGCAAAGCGCTAGCATGATAGCACCTCAGCTGATCCCCGGTAGCAATCTAGGCACCCTATGTTGGTCTAAAAGGCTCTTTCTGAGCTTTGTGGTTTAGTCGCAAGGTCGTGCCCGACCCATCACGACCCCATGGACAGCATTCCTCCAGGTTCTCCTGTCCTCCACCATCCCTTGGAGTCCACCCGAGCCAACACCCACTAGCCCAGTGACTATTTCTGGAGCATTTCTACATAGAATTGCAATAACTGGATGGAAAGTGACCCATCCCTGTCCAGGGAGTGTCATGGCTTGTATATCAGCCTAAGCCAGTGAAAAGGTGCCCCCAACCACTAAAGCCACCTGTGCCTCTTAAGCGACAACGATGGCCCTAGGAGCACTCCCCAGACTCCTGTGGCGCACTGCTGCAGTACCCAGATTTGGGAGCCTTAACCAAAGAGGGGATCAGTATTTAGAAGTCTGCTTCTCAATGAGCAGAGCTAGGTAACGCTATACATATGTGTAATCAAAGCCATTCATTTCATCCAAGGTATTTCTGAAGACTCGCTCCTCTCGACCACCCACAGTGCTTACATTTTCAGGGGAACATTATGCTGCACAATTGTATCATCCCCCCTCCCCCCCACAAGCACCCACTTTCCGCAATGTACAAGTGTGCAGGAAAGAAAGGCCAAGGAACCAAAGGAACTGGGCAGGCTTCAACATGGTCTGGGAGGCCATAGTATTGTTGGGAATCCCATTTCCAAGCTCCAACCATCTCAGAGCTGTGACTCGGAAGGTCTGAGTCCCCACCCTGACCCTCCAAGTTGATGTAGAAAAAGCTGCCGTGGTGAAGGGAGGGGAGGGGAGGGGAGGGGAGGG